GTCCCATCGCAGCACACGGGCTTCGCGAGCGGAATGCTCCGGACCGGCGGCGCTGTTGTGTCCGTGTCAGAGACTCTGCTGCCTCCTTGACGACCGCTCATCGCTTCAAGACATGGGTCCAAGGTAGGTCGCGCCATAGAGATCGGGTCTGCTTCGCGCCAGGTTGCGATGCAGCGCAGAGAGGAGAGGCCACAGAGGAGCGAGCCCAACTCTTGGTGGACTTGGCGTGCTTGGTGCCGAAGGAACCGTGATGAACTGCATAGACGGTAGGATGAATTGAGATTGAGCCTGAGCCTGAAGGACGGGAGTAATCATCGGGACTTGGCATTGAATCTGTTGCTGCCACAGTTGCTGCTGCTGAAGTTGTTGAATCTGCTGGAGCTGCTGGAGCTGCTGGAGCTGTTGGAGCTGTTGGATTTGGATGGGAGTAAGCATGACTCCAGACGCCATCGCCGCGGGCGCGACCTTCAAGGATGCTTCGGCAGGCGCAGGCACTGCGCGGAACGGCTCCGGGCTACTGCCTTGACCGAGGTAAATATCGTCGTCGTGAGCCCAGTCCTCACCCCATGCCATCTCACCCTCCGCCGGAGAGCTTGGAAGCTCGCCTGCGCACCATGTCTCCTTGTCGGTAAGCGACGCAACTGATGAGAAAGGAGAGTTAACTTCAGAAGTCGAGCGGAAGGCCGAAGTCGGACTCCAGATGTCACGACCGGAGCTTGGAGTTGATGACGTGGTTTGCGGAGATGCAGGGAGTTGGGTGAAGTAATCGTCGTCGTCGGCGTCGACGACTGGTGAATACGGAGATGACGGGGCTTCAAACACGGCCTTGAAGAGCGACTCGCCGATGAGTGCGGAAGCTACTCTACCGGCCTCAGATGATGGAGAGAGAGGCCCATCGAGTTCGGAGTCTAGGTCCAGATCGAGGTCAAGGCCGAGCAAGTCAGGGTCGGAATCGGAGGCGGCACCGGATGTGGAGATGAAGGGGGAGGCGAGCTGGGGGATCGACACAGGAGGGCTGAAGGCCGGCGCTGTGGGGTTCAGAGTGGGCAACATTGCGCCTTGGTTTGTTTGGCAGGCAGCGAAGAGAAGGGAAATTGTGAGAGTAACGACTGGCGTGGAAGGAGAAACGTGTTCTAGAGGCTAGGAGACAAAAACGAAGGGGAGTCTGGGCTAGATAAGTGAGGATTCGTGGAGGACAGCCGCAGCGGAGACGGTTGGGAACATTAATGCAACTTTGGACGAGCTGGTGGCCCCTTTATGCCATGTTCGTCCGGCATGGCGACAGGATGAGGGCAAGGTAGGGCGAGACGAGTGTTTTCGCACGGGTAAATGTCAAGATAACAACCTCAGGTAGGGCAGTCCTGTTGGTCGGTCGCGCTGGACTCATGCATGATCCCTGGAGGGTGCATAAGGTTATTTTCTCATCATTCGCAGCCACTGGAAATTGGGATGGTCATTGATTGGATCCAGGAGGTGGTGGGCGAAGGCTTTAGCCGCCCGCGTAGCCAATAAATGACGGGCCTGATCACCCTACGGACCAACCTTGAAATCCTCTGCATTCTCGCCGTCTCGATTCGGTGGAATCGGTAGAAAAGTCCCCCTTTTGGGTTTGCGCGAGACGATGGGGATGGATTGACCTTGTAAGAGAAAACTCACCGAGTTGTGATTCTGCCCAGCCCTCGGACTCATAAACCCTGTCGCGTCGGATTCTGGGGAGGTGTTGTCTGCTCACCACTCGCCGGCCAGCGCCGGCGCGATTTGTTGGCGGGGTCATTGCGATGCGGCCGGCCCAAGACGGTCTCTGTTTGTCCCTCTTCGGGTCTGCACGGCCATTGGAGTCTGGATGCCAGTTGTCTTGCGTCTTGTCTTGCAGCTGGCTGGGCTATTGCATTGGGGGCATTGGGGGCAGGGGCGGCAGTCTCTGGTCAGTGGTTGCACGTCCAGACGCGCCCCCATTCCTCGTGGGATCATGTTTGCATTGCAGCGCGCAACGCCTACCTGTAGAGGCCAGAGGAAATTGATAGGTATCCGTAGGCAGGCTGGTCCTGGGGGCGGCGGCAGCGGCGACGGCGGCAGCGGCTGTCGACTGTTCAAAAGAGTTCAGACGATGGGCCGTGTTGGTCTCATCTATTCTCATAAGGTTGGTCTCATCTATTTTTCCCCAACTTGTTCTTCGGGTCGGCCGTATTAAGCAATGATGGGCGCCAGGTTCTGGACTTGGGACGAAGCCCTGCGGTTTCGCGTTCGTGATGCACTGGGGTGATGCCAGCTGATTCGGGCTGATTCAAGTGAGGCATCCTCGGATTTGGCAGAGTGCCCCTGACGCTATTCCCAACACGGCCGCCTGAGGAAAATCTGCGGCATGGGCTGCCCGGTCGAATGTCGGAAGGACCGGACGGTGGGTCTCGATGCTTCATCACGTGAGCGGACATTATCTAAGCCGTCCGTCTTCCTGCTGACATAACCACAAAATCCTTTGGCGGACCCTTTGCTCCGTCAAGTCGCTGCGTCAGCCAAATTCTCGCCAAGCTGTCAACATCCATCAGCTCAAGGCAAAGAGCAACGCTTGAATTCATACTTCGTCTCTCTCTCTCTATAGATGCGATCTGTGAGCTACCCGCACATTGCCCGTCACCAAAGTTTTCGTCGTCAAGTAGTCCTCAATGCCGTATTTGCTCCCTTCTCGCCCAATCCCAGAGTGTTTAATACCCCCGAACCTAAACCCGAGTCAGCCAAAAAGTCAAAATAAAATCGGCATCGGGGACGCCTACGGAGCGGCTGCATCGGAAATGACCCCGGTGTTTAAGGCCACCATTCCAAACTGCAGCAATTCGGACACCCGCGTCGCACGGTTGAGGTCGTTGGTAAAGATGTAAGATGCGAGGCCCACGTCACACCGGTTGGCGGCATCAACTACCTCTTCCTCCGTCTCAAATGATGAGATGGGAGCTACTGGGCCGAAGATTTCCTCCTCCAAAACCCTCATGTTCGGTTTAAGATTTGTTATGACGGTGGGCTCGAAGAAATTTGGTCCTGGTGAGCGAAGTGAGTATCCATTCTTGGTATTGGGATCGCTGTCTGGAAACCTACCAAGATCCGGCCGTGCTTTGCCTCCGATTTCTACACAGCCGCCCCCCTGAACAGCGTCGTGAACGAGATCCGCAACCCTCTGAGCAGCTTCGGCGCTGGCGAGAGGTCCATGAGTGACTTCCTCGTCGAAGCCGTGTCCAACCTTGAACTTGCTCATTTCCTCCTTCAACTTGGAAACAAACGCCTTGTGTATACCCTCTTGCACGAATACTCGATTCGCGCAGACGCATGTTTGTCCCGACGACTTGAACTTGCTTGCAATCACGCCAGCTACTGCGAGATCCAGGTCCGCATCCTCAAACACCAGAAAAGGGGCATTACCACCTAGCTCCAGGCTCATCTTCTTCAACGTCTGACTGGACTGTTGCATGAGAAGCTTTCCGACACGTGTTGATCCCGTGAAAGAGATTTTACGGACGATCTCAGATTGGCACAATGTCGCCCCAATCTCCGGAGTGTTTTCGAGGGCCGAGATGATGTTGACTACGCCCTTTGGCACACCCGCCCGTTGACCAAGCTGCATGACAGCATTAGCAGTGAATGGTGTCTCGCCAGCAGTCTTCACCACGACAGTGCAACCGGCAGCCAGTGCTGGCGCTAGCTTCCTCGTGACCATCGCGGCAGGAAAGTTCCAGCTATTCCATCAGTCGATCAGCACAATCCCTTCAACATGTCTTGCTAACGGAAGAACATACTCACGGAGTGATGAGACCACAAACACCGACCGGCTCTTTCAACACAGACACTCGCATGTTTGGGTTACTGTGGGGTATCACGTCTCCATAGGTTCGTGCTGCTTCTTCGGCAAACCATTCCAGAAAGCTGGCAGCAAAGACCACCTCGCCAGCCGCATCTGCCTTTGCTTTGCCGTTTTCCCAAGTAATCAAGGTGGCTAAGTCGGCCTTGTTCTCCATGATCAGGTCATACCATCGACGAAGTATGCGCGCTCGATCTCGACCGGATCGAGATCTCCAAGCCGGCAGCGCCGTAGCTGCCGAGAGAATGGCGCGCTCCGCATCTTCAGACACAGACTCAGGGCACGAGCCGATCTGCTCGCCCGTAGCGGGATCTGATCTATGGTCAGCTGCCGAAGAACACTGCGAATGGGGGGCAAGGCAGGACTCTCTGGTAGCCCGTAGGAGCAGCGGGGGAAAACACATATATGAACTCACCTGTGACATTGAACGTTTTGTCAGAGACGGAATTCACCCAATGGCCATTGATGAAGTTTCTTCCAACGAGCAACGACTCGTCTTGGAGCTGGGGTTTGAAAGGCATAGTGTTCTGTCAACTCTGCGTGAGAATCAAACGTTACTTTCCTCCGTCAAAGCGAAGGGCTTGCGCAAAGCGGTCATCGCAGGCCGGGTCTTATGAACGGATCCCATCCGGAGCGATACTACGAACGCGCCTGAACACTTGTGATGGTACCGAGATCGGCTGATTCGCTTATCGCCGGTACCGTCCATGTCGGGGACAAACCGGAGGACATCTCATGCTGCAGGCCCCACCCCGCCGGGAGCGCCGTGCAGATGCGCCGCCCCATTTCCCCGGCGCCAGAAGTGACATCCCAGAACCGGCGTCAGCCAGTGAGATTTCAGTCATTGGCTCTGCCAAATGCGGGGATGACTGGTTTGAAGTCTTGAGCGGAACGGTGAAGACATGATCTCACTCGCTGAAGTGGGGTAAGAACATAAGGTTGCCCGGCGGGAAGCCGAGCGATAAGGAGCCAAGACCGAAGCTATGAGCCAACATCTCAACAGCGTTACATGACTGATGATAGCAGGAAAAGTACAAAATTCGGGGCCGAACGCCTTCTGAAATCGAACTTAAGGTTGTAAACCTGAGCGTCTTCATTAATCACTCGAAACCTGTGGTGATAACACATCCTGCGGTCCTTCATCCAAATCATCATGGCTCCGTCTATTCGCACGCTCGATCTCAACAACACATCGTCTGCATACTTTGCGCCAGCGACTGTGACTTCATCATCGAAACTTGTGCACGTGGCCGGCCAGCCCGGCTCGACCGTAGACGGGCAAGTCCCCGACGACTACGAGTCCCAGATCCACCTCGCTCTCCTCAACTTGCGCAAGATCATCCTCGTTGTTGGTGCATCCATCAAAGACATTGCAAAGCTCACTCTGTACATCGTCGACTATGATAGCACCAAACGGAAACACGTTCGCCACATCCAACGTTTCCTCGCCGGCCATCGGCCAGCAATGACTCTCGTGCCGGTGCCTAAGCTGGCAATGCCGACATGGAAGTTCGAGATTGACGCCGTAATCGCAGTTCCCGAATACTCAGTGTCTTTGGACAGAGCGACTCTGCCGGAATCATCGGAGTCAGTCGACGTCGTTATCATCGGTGCCGGGCTCGCTGGTTTAAGCGCTGCGCGCGACATCACACGCGCCGGCCTCTCTTGCATCATCCTTGAAGCAAGAGACCGCGTTGGCGGAAAGACTTGGAGTCAGCCTCTAAAGCAAAGCCAGCCCGGAGTAGTTGACCTTGGTGCTGCATGGATCAACGACACCAACCAACATAGGATCTATGCGTTGGCAAAGCAATATGGGGCCGAGTTGATTGAGCAGAACACGAACGGCAACGTGGTCATGCAGGACTTTGACGGAGTTTGCTCGCCTTTCCCGTATGGGGAGCTTCCCATGGTAAGACCTCTGCTCGTCTGAATGCCAATCATATCTTCGTGGCACGATACTAATCGCCAGCAGTTTGATGAGATTACTCGTCAACACCTCGGCGCCGTTCGCGACATGGTCGAAGCCGACTGTCAAGCCGTAGACACTTGGAAGCCAATGAACACGAGCTTGGATAGTCTCACCTTTGACGCATACTTGCGCTCTCGGGGCGCCAGCGAGACTGCAATTGCAACGTCCAATGTATGGACCCGCGCAATGCTTGGTCAGGAGGCGACCGATATATCGGCTCTTTTCTTCCTCAACTACTGCAAATCTGGTGGTGGACTTTTGCAGATGCGCTCCGATCGCAAGGGTGGTGGCCAGCATCTCCGCGTACGCCAAGGCACGCAGCATTTTGCCAGGGGCCTGGCCTCCTCTCTCCCTGACGGAGTAGTGCGCCTCAATCAACCCGTCCGTGCCGTGATCTCTGATGGTCACCAAGGAGTGAAGGTTCAGACAGAGAAAGGGGTATTGGCAGCACGCAAAGTGATCACAACTATTCCAGGCCCAGCTCTCAAGAGCATCTCATTCGAGCCACCCTTGCCGCTTTCCAAGCAGGCGTGGATCGATTCTCTGACTTATGGCTACTATACGAAAGCAATGATGGAGTTCAAAGTGCCGTTCTGGATTGAAAAGGGGTTTTGTGGTCTCGCACAATCATTCGTGGGGCCTGCAAGCGTCATTCGCGATACCAGCATTCCAATCGACGGCAAGCACGTGCTTACATGTTTCCTTGCCGGTGATGCTGGCAGAGCTTGGTCTGCACTTGAACAAAGTGACAGGGAGAAGAGGTTGCTGAATCAGTTAGAGCAGCTCTTTGGTCACGAAGGTATTCATGACCAGTTTGTTGGCATGTCCGCTTATGAGTGGGTCAACGACGAGTGGTCTGGATGGGGCTGCCCGTGTACGTCTCTTGCGCCTGGCGTTCTTGACGCACTCGGTGGCGATTCTTTCAGAAAGCCAAGTGGAAACCTGCATTTTGCCGGTACCGAGACTGCGGGAGAATGGAAGGGGTATATGGAGGGTGCGGTTAGGAGCGGTGAGCGAGCAGCTTCTGAGGTTTTGGAGTCACTTTCAAGTGCTGCTAGTGCGTCACGACTGTGATCATTTTACCACATACATGTGTAACTATGCACCTCGATATTTCGTCCACTCATTACGAAATCTTGCGGGAGTTTTCAGTTATATCATATCAAATACATGGAGCTAAACGTACGGAAACAAAGAGTTGCTCGCTTGATGCAGTGCATTGCGCAAACTTACGTTCCAAATCACCCTGTGGTTTTAAAAAAGGGCAAGTTTCCAGCCTCGTGTCCTTGCGACATCCATCCAGTCCGTCCTAAATCTTCCAGACCCTGCTCCGGTGCACTTCCAAACCTCCTCCAGCACTGAAACACACGCGTCCACGTTGCGAAACCGCCGACGATGGTTAAGCGAAGCAAATCCTTCTCGAACTGTGGCAATTTCCGCTTGTGAAGTCGCTTCACCACCGGCCATAAATAAAGGAAATATCATGGAGGTCTCTGCATAGCAACCCTTGGGTATTTCCCTGGAGATTTTGCAAATGGCGGTCACAAATTCTGGTAACTTTGACTCAAACGACTCCGAGTGGGAGGTAATGTGCTTTCGAAGAACACGATACAAGTAAATGAGAGCAGCATGTCGATAGGCATCAGCTAAGATGATTAAGGATGCGTCCTGTGACTGAGACGGGCACTTCCAGTCCTGAAGCTTCGTCTCTAAGCGCCTTGCTTTACAGCATAGGTCTGCCATTAGAGCTATTGCATCGGAAACCCCCGATAGTGTTTTGCCTGACAGTGTTGCTTCCTGTGAGGCCATCGAGAAATCCTGGTTCAAGTGACTGGTTTCTCCGATTAGATGGATGATTTCTGCGGCATGTCCAAAATACGGATCCGCCACATCATAGTCTTCTGATGAGAGCCAATAATCTCCGGCAAGATGGGGCTTGCAATCAAGTGATACACTCATGATGATGTCGTGATACGCAAAGTTTCGGAGAAGCCATCGACCCTCATAGGTTTGGGACAATGCTTTAACATCATCCCCGATTAAGGCTTGACCATCGATTGACGAAGCGGTATCCATATTGTTGCACTCATTGAGGCATGCAGCGGCGCCAGAGAGATGATGTATCCAGTCATCTATTCCAGAAGAGATAGACTCCATGGAACATAGGACCAATGTCGTCGCCAGCCTCATTTCGCGCGTGAGTGAGCCTTTCGTCATAGAGCTCTTAAGTTCAGCCATCGCATTTCCGCGATGCTGCAAGGCCCTAACTTGGAAAATGTCATCTTGGATTGCCAAGTGAGCTGATGAACTAGCAGCCAGGGCGTACATCAACGAGGGGCATTCAAAGGCCATTGGTAGCAAGACTGTCCAACATTAAAATCGAACTCATAATATGCACCTTGGAACATACCGGATAAAAAGCAGTTATTATGCAAATTGTTCGTTAACATAAAAACCAACGATGTTGTGTAATACCGGAGCATCATTCGTCGGCTGCTAATTAAATCATCTTCTCCTGCCCCGCCACAGGGGCTTGGACCATACTTAGGCAACGCATAAACTCCCAGTCGGTTGAAATCAACAAGATGTGGGCCACTGCTCAAGCTGGAGTTGGCACTGCTGACAGACGATGTCGATTTGAAGGATTCCGTGCCAACAGTCACCTCGCGAGGCCCCTCCCATCGACAAACCAGGTTTAAACGAAGGCAATGACTGCAGACTGGGTACTGCTCGTGGCATTTCTTCTTTCTTGAGAATTTTAGCACCGCACCCAGACGACGACCAGATATGCTTAGACTTACTTACCTTCGACGACAAGTTAAACAGCCCCTGCGCTGTCTTGTGATAGGACGTCCGCCGCCAAGACGGCCGGTTGCCACCGCGACATCGTTTGTGACGGTCTTGTCCGACATCGCGCAAGGTTTTCCCGCGTGGTGGCCTCAATATTGTGAAGGAAGCCAGAAAGATGCGGATGATGCCAAAGACAGAAGGGGACAACTATTCTATGGGTCTGAGGGGTCTTGATGCTGTCATCTTGGAGCCGGGCGTTATCAGCGGCACGGGGCTCCTTGCCCTGAAAGCCAATCATAGCACGGAGATTGGCGCAGCCATGATAACAACAGATGCGCGGCGCTTTCGGCGGGGTGGAGCACACAGACTCCAGCCGATGTCGGTGCTGTTAAGACGCAGCAGTCTACGGACAGATCAGAAGTTCACAACCTCCGCACATCCAAACGTCCAGCAACTTATACTGCGCATTCGTACAATTTAATGCAGAGAATCAAGGGCTTGCGAAAAAGGTATTTTACAAGCCCGGTTGGACATCGCGCTGAAGAAGCTAAGCCTGGAAAGTTGACTATGAGTCTCTGTATACTTGGGAGGGGATTGGTCAGATTCTCCGAGTCCAACAGTTGGCATTCGGGGATGGACTAGAGCCGGCCAGTAGTGATCATACCCAGCACATATGATGAGATCAGGCAACTAAGGTAACTTCAGTAGTGCGTTACTAAGTTGCGGGCAGTGTTGATAACAATATCTTACGGCGGCGAGCTGTTACAATCACCACAGTCGGAAGGCATTTAGGAATGGGTTAGGATCTACAGAGCCGCGTGAATTATGGTCTGGCTTGCAAAGTCCTATCTACCGGATCTAGCACTTGAATCATTCGGATTCAATCCTAATCAACGAGGCCTTCGGGACTTGTCATGCTCTTTTGCGTTGGCGAGCTTTCGTCTTTGCCCAAGAACAAATCTGATATGCCGCATGAAACGTCTAAAGACATATCAATCTTAAGTCCTGTCCTTATTTCGGTTAACCAAGATTTCATCACACCCCTCTCTACTTCGCTGTCGCAACTACAGACGTAGTCTTCGGCGGTGAAACCCATATTGTCTTCGTGCTCCACAGCCTGCTTGGTGAGCAGCCCATTGTCAAACAGCCACTTCAAAAGTTCCACCTGACCATTCGAGGCAATCATCATCAAGCCTGTCACACCATGACAGCCGTCCGTAAATCCAGACCAATTGGCACCGCAAAGGATCAATAATCTAGCCACATCAATATGTCCATGCGCCAGCGCTAGATGAAGAGGGGTGGCGTCGGGGCAGTCTTCTGCATCAAGGAGCCCATGGTTTTGTCGTAAAATATTCAGGTGAGAAGATGGGCACATGCAAGCATAAGTGGCTGTGACTTCGAGACCGAGCGTACTTCGCGAAAGATGGTCTTCTAACAGCCAATAAACGGCTGCAAAATTTCCCACCGAGGCAGCGACGTGCAATGACGTGATACGACCAGCTGACAATGGCTCTTCTGTGTTGGTAGTCCAGGGCCAATGTGGTTCACAGGTGTGCCCAGGGAGGTGGAATGTCGCCCACAAATGCAAAGGTCGAAGGGACAAAACCTTCTCAAGAACCGGCAGGCCAACGACGGGATCTGCAGCTGCCGCCCAGAGAACGATAGGATTTGCGTAAGGCTTCAGCGTATAGTCGCGGGGAGTTTCCTCAATGTCGTAGTTTGTGTGGATATTGATGCTACTCTGAACTTCCGTGTCGTCTCTGGCTAGTCCATTTCGGTACAGCAGCGGTGACGCCGCCTCGTACAGATCGTGACAAGTCTGGGACACGGCACTTAGAGTAGAGACATCCTGAATTACCCCAACTATAGCCAAAACAATTTCGAACGGCAAACCTGGAATAGGCGATGCGGCTTTCATTCTGGAAAGAACCGGGCAGATTGAGCTTGGGGTATTGGGCGTTTGTCGAGTGGCTGTTTGCATGAGCTTCTGGGCTGACTTCGGGTAAAGTAGAAAGGGATGCGTCGTGAATAGATCACAATAACGAAGTTTAAATGGAAAGGTTGCGGGATAATCGTAGGACATATGGGACTGGAGGTGTCGTGCTACATATACGTCGAGAGACGAACAGACGTAATTCCCCCAACCACCACGTTCGGTCCCCTGTGGCGTTTTGTCATTGCATAAATTTTCAACGGGGCGCTAAGTGTTTCATGTAGTCGATGATGTACGAGGACCGTTGGCGACGGCGCAAATTTGATGTCTCAAGCGCGAAACTTCACGAGCTGATCTAAGTTAGAGCACGCCAAGAATGCTTAGGTGAGCAGCATATAACTCAGAAAACCAGCCACAGCATTAGGAAATTCCCAGGTAAAAGCTGCCTCCAATCCCGACGCTTCCTTTGTTCGGTAAGGTACACCGTCAGGTTTGTGTATTGAGCCACCCACGTCAAGGCAAAATCGTGGAACATCGATCCCGGGCAAAATTGGAGACGATGTTATGTGCCCCATAATTGCAGGAAAAGGATCATTGCACCTAACATAACTACTGCTATCCCTGAGAAGATTACTTGTTCACAGGTTATTAGAGCCAGAGTAAAGAAATAAAAACAAAACTAAAAAGAAACCGAACCCAAGTCCAAAGCTAGTTGTTGATAATTACCTGGGCACCTACGGCTATCTTAATAGATTAAAAGACGATTCCAACGTTCTTTGGCTAGGTATAATGCCGCTGTCTTAACGCAGACTCAATCATTTCATGCGTGATTAACATTAAATCATGGATTGATCTATCAGTTAAGGCTGTTCTCTTACGCGGCGGTTTAGACAGCTCTCTCTATTGCGCTCGTCTACCGTAGAGCCCACAAAAGCTAGCGTGCAGCTTGTCAACATCTTTCTTCCCTTCTAACTTTTCTTCTTCGCAGTTTGCCGCCTGGAGGCGCACCTTGTTGACTGCCGTATGACTCTGACGGGGAAACATGTGGAGAGAGCGTAACCTTATATGATCAGCGTGCTCCAAGGTACATGCGGCAGCATGCCACTTGGCGACTCTAATGAGCAGAAACCTCTATGTAGTGTCACTTGTAGAATCGGAAAATGGTTAGTTAATGACTGGCCTTCTCATTCAACTCATTCCTGTATGATGTATGAAGTTATGAACTATGGGAATATGATTCCGATCTAAGCTTTTCATTCTGCAAAAACAACACAAGACTGAAGCAAAGAATTGACGATGAGAGTTCGGAAAATGCAACCCGGAATTATTATTAAGCACTTAGAACAGAGCTCATGATGCTGCTCAAGTCACCAGGTTTCGCAATTCATACATTAGTGCAGGTCTTAGAATTCCTTAGAGGGAGATAGCAGAGGACGCAGTCGGGTGACGAAACAAGTAGATGGGTATATGAATTGACACGTTATCAGTCATTGTAGCAACCAGTACGCTTCGTCTTCTCCAAAAAACAACAACAACAAAAACCAAGTCAAAATCAAAACACCAATTTTAACAGACAAATCTCGAACCAACGAATACGGGTGCGTTTGACATTTAATAACTTGTCATCAAAGGTCTCAGAGTGGGTTTGGACGTCGAGACCTCAGCCGGAGCATCCGAGCGTCCGGGGGAATCTTTATTCGTGCCTAGCATGGAATACATGGATCGCCAGTTGAATGGACATGCTTTTGGGACTTTGGTTGTGTGGAGTTCAGTTTAGTACTTTTGTTTAATTCGGGCAGCTCCAAATGTCAGCTCAGGCTGTGTCGGGTGTTCGACGGTCGGATGTTCGGCGCAGGTCAATTCAGGAACTCCCGCACGACTGAGCCCCGCAACCGCCAATGGCACGCTGCCGGATAGACATAGTTTGAATGTGCCGGGCCGTAGGATCGCACTAGTGCATTTCAGCCCTGAAGGATCATGTCGTAAAAGCAACACGACGTACGTGTCTTGTTCGCTTCTGCCTGCTGAAGTACACCGCAGACTTGTTTGTGCACAACGTGCCGATCACTGCCGGAACAGCTAAACGAGGTGCCTTTTAAGGACCCGCACTTTGTACGAGAGTCAGCGTGGAAATTGATGCGAGCCCGAGTGTCAAAACATGAGAGGCAGACTAATGAGTTGATGATTTGAAAGCGCGAAAGGGTGCAGCTCAAACCTAATATAACAACTCAGGTTGAGTCCGTAGATCTCGACGGATGAGAGTAGCGTTGCTTGAGGTAGAAATTTCCATGTCACCCAATATGTGCGGCAACGCTCGGCCTTGAATGGGAAGCGCAAGTATGCGGTGAACGAATTGTGTACTTCATACTCTGCCGGGCTTTTGGTTCCAGGGGTCTCAGTGAACGATGACAACATGTGAGTGGGATTGAGTTTACTGCGGTGTCTGAATCTTTATTGGCTTACGGACATCCAGGCATCCTGAGTCCCACTAAGTTGTCCAAGGGGACTTTGTGCTAAGTGGTTGATCGCTTCCACTTACATCTACATAGCCCACATGTTGCGGGGATTGTGTCGGCCGCTATTGGGTTCTGCTTGAGGGACTGACGGTAATTCCTGGCAGTCATCGTAGCATCGTGCAATTCCTTCAAGCCCGGCGTCTTACTCAAAGTCCAGAGTCTAGAATATCCCCTGCCACAAAAGTCCCACGTACACAATACTGGCTGGGCGGGCCTAGCCTGCCATCTGTGTTTGAGACCAGGCTTCTTCAATGAAGCTTGCGGAGGCTGTCGATTATACACTAGCATTTTGAAGTATAAATAAGCTGCGATGTTCCCGCAAAGGAGACCGATCATCTCCATAAGCCACACAATACATACACATTACTCCTCAACTTCATTGTCAAGTAAATCGCAGCCATGCAGCTCCTCCAAGTTGTTTCCGTTCTTGCTTCTTTTGTCGCCGTCAGCTCTGCCACGGCGACTATCGGAAGCTCTTGCAGTGGCGCAGCCTATGACTGCACCAACGACTTCAATCAGATCGCGGTCTGCAACGGCAACCGATGGGTTCTCTCCGCCCAGTGTGGAGCCGGATGCTGCGTTTGGCCCGGCGGCGACCCTGCTCCTTGGTGCAGATGCTAAATGACGTTTAACACGACAACGTACGTGGATTTCAATTCTTCCGTTGTATCGAGTTTGAGTTTGACACCTTCAGCAGTCTTCAGTACCGATGGCAATAGTAAGGTACGATTGTGAACGCCTACCGCCTGACGGGAACGGACGGTTATTGTCCACTTTCAATGACGGGACGAAGCATACTTTCCACGGCAAATTGTGCCATGTTGGAAATCACAATCGCTACGTAGGATGACTCTATAGAATTCAACAAAGTGCTTCTACTCCCCATAACTTCTTGTGACAGAGACCACATAGCCGACCAAAGGTTGAGGTTCCTGTGATCAGTGTGCAGCGGAGGTGGGGCAGCTTCTACAGAGTGAACATGTGATGGGCTCATGATTTTGGAGGGCGATGCCGTCTACACTGCGGCAAGAGGATCATGGAACGTGCTTCGGTTATTGCGGAAGTTTGACGTTTTATTGTGGCTATATCTCAGAGATTGTGAATCCGAGTTCTTTGTACGCAACGCAATGTTAAATCAGGGTGGGTGATCCATGACTCTTGACTTCTCGACCAATTGTTATTGTCAGCGCCTTTTTCGGAAGGCAAGAGGTCTAGATGGTAGTTGCGTGCGAGGTGCGCCACAATCATTCTGATCATCAAGTCAGCGGCGTACCGTCCCAAACACTGCCTCGGGCCAAAGCCGAACCTCCAGAACAAGTATCGTCTTGCCCGAGTGTCCTTGTATGTGTTGTTCAAAAACCGATCCGGGCGAAAGTGCTCATTGTCAGGTGCCCACGCCTCGTTGCGCACGTTGAGGGCGTACGTATCCACAATAAAGCTGGTGCCAGCAGGTATCACGTATGCTTTCCCGGGCGCAATGTCAATTCGACGCGAAGTTGGTGCTGCTTGCGGAACGGTGAATGCAGCTAAAGGTCGCAGGCGACTTGACTCGAGGGTGCAGCAGGCTAGAAACGTAGAACGCCCCTCGCTGAGGTAGCGGGCGAATGCTCTAGCATCCTTCTCATGGCTGCACGCTGCGTCGATTTCGGTCCTCAAGCGCTCCTGGTCATGTTGATGGGCCGCCAAGAAGACGGGCACCCACGATAATCCACCGATGGTTACGTCCAAGTTGGCGAAAAGGGACTCGTCCAATGTCTGCAGTAGTTGGTCCTCATTCATATTGCCCATGGCTACAGCATCGTACATGGCGACAATCGGCGGTGGCGGACCCCTTTCCTGAAGCGCATATGCCAAAGCCATCTGGTTGAACTTTTTCCACGACGACTTGAACCTCGCGAGGTCGGCATTCGCAGCAGTAGGAAAGAAGCGAGCCCAAGAGAATCTGTACAAGCCTCCTCGTATGACGTGATCGTTGAATATGTGAGTGCGAAGGGGCACCAGGTCTTCCAGCAACTTAACAACTTCAGGCGGGAGCCGACCATAAAACTAGAAGTAACTTCATGTCAGAACTTGCTCTTTGTTTCTGCGGATATCGCATTGAAAAAGTCCCCACTTAATGGGAGATGTACGTTAGACCCGGAGATCCAGCCGGAAGTCGATGGCAGGTACATGTAATAATGGTAAACGGGAAACATCATACCATTTCAGCAATGATCCGGAAAGGCAGCATCGCCAGATCGTTGACAGGGTGCAATAATCCATTCGCCAAATTGCTCTCGCCTTGAGCATGTAAGTCTGCAAAGTGCTGCTGCACAAGGCGCTGGAAGTTTTCAACTTGCGAGGCCACATGGTTGCGCTGGAAAGGAGCTTCCATTGCGCCGCGCACGGCTCGCCAGTCTGGTCCGCTGATCAGTCCAAGACACTGACCTAAAAGTTGGTTCATGTAGAAACCAGAGTTGTTTGCCGGCGCCTTCGAGTGCTTATCCGAATCTTTGAACACCTCCTGGAGCTGATGAGGTCGTGTCAACACACTGGTGTACTTAAATGTAAGCAATGCCCCAAAAAGAGGAAAGCAGACGCACATTTCCGGCTGCATCCCAGACCAGATGCGGTACACGCCCCCATACTGCTCCCTCCAATCTTTGGAATTCTCAATACCATGTAGAAATTTCGCAGTATCTCCTTGTCCGTTTGGCCACACGTAGGGACAGGAAGGGATTGAAGTGCGTTTGCCAGCGATATTCAACACGGGAAACCGCAACTCTAGAAATTGCTATTTCGTGTTAATTAGATTGCCAATCCAAGTCGAAGGCTACTTACATTGATTATCTTGGAAAGTAGAGTTCGTGGCCATTGCGTAGATCTGCGGAAAAGAACATCCAAATTCCCCGCGATAAGTGCTAGGGTGCATATGATTGCAACATTCTGTACTGAAAGGCTTATAATCATGGTCGACGCAATTGTAGTCAATGGACATGTCTTATTCGACTCCATCCACAATTCTTCCCACAAAACTCCCGAGCTATGCCTTCAAAAACAGAACGTGACATATCTAGGTGAGTGCGGCTCAACCCCACGACCAGGCTTCCTGTTCAGGCAAGTCAAAATACTGACGGACTCCCCATGACCGCTGAAAGTCCGGAATTCCCCATACTTGCCGCATTGAAGAGAATTTGTGTGAGTGCCGTTTTCTTTTCAGACGAAATTAGATTTTCGCATACGGATAAGGTTCTGTTCGAGATCGTCTGAACAACCATTGTGGGACAACCACCGCTTCAAACATGACGCACTCTGGATGCCGACATCCCACACAGTTTTCGGTGTCTGTTGAAGTTTCAGGTAGACATGGAGAACATACACAAACAATGTTTATGACTTATGCTGATAATTCAAATATGATAACTGTAGAATCTTGCTGCGGAACGAGACTTCAAAGTCTCGCAACCATAGTCCGTTCATGGTCTGAGTTCAATCGCACTAACCCAGGCGTTTCTCAGGGTGTATATGCTCTGCACCTTCCAACCAGACGTTTCAGCCAGTTGCCTCCATTCTTTCTCAGTCCGCTCACGTCCTTTAGCAGTCATCAGCATTTGTACGTCCCCATACTGCGCCAACCTCCCCATTGCCCCATCTTGCAACACCGCATCTAGCACCACTAATCTAGACTTTTCCTGAACTACTATGGCATCCCGTATGTTTTGGAGAATTATCTTGACGTCTGGATCGAGCCAGTTATGTAGACACCACTTCATGACGTAAACCTCATAGCGGGGAATCGGACCGGCGAGAAAGTCTCCTGCAACAAGATCTTCTGCTAATACACGATCGCCGACATCGGAGAATTGGCCATCATCAGAGTGGAAAAATGGTCGAGTGTGATCTATGACCGCAGGTAGGTCCAAGATTCCGCCTCTCACTAAGGCCATGGTCAGATAGAACTCATTTCCGTTGAGAGGCATAGTCGGCCGGGACTAGCCCCCAACGCGTGGAAGGAAAACATGATGACCACTCACTAGTCGGATATTCTCGTAGTAAAGAAGCAAGAAGTGCGCCACCGCCGCCGCCGATGTCCAGTATCACACAGTCGGCCACGTCATGCCAGGGGTAGTCGGCGAGAATCCCAGCTGCCTGTGCAATTTGACTTGCGTTGAAGGCTCGGTGCACCCGCGGTAACCAACCACGCTTTTGAAAATAGGTGAAGATATCGTCATCAGTGTCGTAGTTGATTTGAGCTGCGGTACGGGTGGAATCAGTGCGTAGTGAGTCTGGAATGCCGCGTGCCATGTCATAGAATTCAGTAGCGTACAACTCAACCCAGGTATGCCACTGAGTCCAATGATCGGATTTCAGGAGATTGGACCGCGAATTGTTGGTATAAGTGTCACTTGCGGCATCGTAGACGAACAGACCGTTGTTGTAAAGCAATCTCATCACAGGTCGCAACCGGTCCTCACGAGCCCCAGCGCTCTCCGCTAGCTGAGAAATTGTCAAACCGGGGCGCTGGCCAAGAATGTCTGGAATCTTGAATGAGACTGCAGCGACGAGGGATTTACTACTCAGGTAATAACCTGAACCAAGACTGATCAGCAACGACGTTGTAAATGACAAAGATAGGAACAAACCCATGAAGTGATCTGCAAGAACCAGTTGCGATGGTTGCAGCATCTGTTTGGCGTCATCTAGGATATCTACCACTTGTGCCGCTATCGATCCAACCTCCCTATGCGGCAGAGCCTCCGGATCGTGGAGTGTGGCATTGAGCTCTACCTGTGTCGCTGGCTCTCTCAATGTGGTGATTAGATCTGACAGAGCTTCTTTCAGAGACGTAAGCTTTTCCACAGTATTGGTTCGATCGCTGGTGTCGTTGGGCATACTGGAGTCGGATGTTGCCATGCTGAGCAAATTGTGTTGGTGGAGACGACTGCAAGAATCCAGTCGTGCACGTTTAAGGCGGAGAATCAGCAATATTAAGAACGAGAGTTCGTGGTGTGAGCAAAACCAACTGTCGAATTACGTCGAATTGCACTTTGTTGTATGCATCCTGCGCACGTTTGAAGCCATCAGATGAACTCAAATGCTCAATCAAGGTTCGCCACGCTGTCACCTGTGCGCCATCACGCAATGCGGTCTCAGTCAGACAGCAGATGGTTACTGCGATATGAAGCTCAAGACGTCTGTGTCAAGCCAACATAACGGCCGGCGCTAAAAGGTTTCACAACGTCCGTCTACACGAAATTACATTTTGCGGATATCCATGGCGAAAAGTACAGATGACAACTGTGCACCTCTGCATCACACTATTTCCCGTACTTTGCATGTCTCAACTGCTGCGTAAATGGGATGACGAAAACGATCTGGATTTCACAGCAAGGCAGGAGCAGCTCCATGGAGCTATACATATGGGTAGCAAAATGACCCTGAAGTTCGGAATTTGGTAGAAGCAAGCCCGAATACGGCAGATCGAGGCCATCGTTATCCATAACATAGCTCCAACTCATAAAACGACAAAATGCCTTTGAAAATACTCATTTCAGGAGCCGGGGTGACCGGCCCATCTCTCTCGCTCTTTCTGCTTCGCGCAAACCCTCTACATCATGTTACGATCATCGAACGTTCGCCAACTTTACGCAAGGGAGGACAACAGATAGATTTGCGTGGGCAGGGTATTCCGGTTATGCAGAGGCTGGGACTTTTGAATGCCATCAAGGCTCGCGCCGTTGCGGAGGACGGCATCGCCTTTGTTGACGCCCGCTCTGGCAAGCAGTGGGCTGTGTTTGGAAAGAACGACTCAGGCAAGGGCCGACAGGCCTTTACCAGCGAGTATGAAATCATGCGAGGTGATCTTGTGGACGTGATATACCAAGCTACTCTTCAGCAAGCAAGCATTGCAAGGGCTCAAGGAGGTCTGACATACAAATTCGGCACGTATGCGACAGATATACAACAGTTCGAAGACGGCGTGAGCGTGACATTCTCTGACGGGAAGGTGGAGAGATTTGACTTGGTAGTCGGAGCGGACGGCCAGTCTTCCAAGACTCGACGACTTGCCTTCGGCCAGGATTTAAACAGCGAGGTCTTCGAGTTCTCCGGGGTGAGCTTTGCGTTTTTCAGCATGCCCGGGGACCGGAACGACACTCCCACAGCACAAGCCTGCTTGGTACCGAAACGGCGATTTATGTCCATACGTACAGGAGGGAGGACTTCTGCTCAAGGATACCTCGGAATTATGGGAAATGCTTCATCCTGGCGAGGCTTGACCACTGGCACCATCGATATGCAGAAGCAGCTCTGGGCAGAAACATTCCAAAATACAGGATGGCAGTCGGAACGCCTGATTAGAGGACTCTTGAACACTGATGACTTTTATGCTCAACGACTAGGACAAATCAAGATGAAAAGCTGGTCTCAGGGCAGAGTCACCTTGCTTGGAGACGCTGCATACTGTCCAAGTCCGATGAGTGGAATGGGTACAGCATGTGGTATTGTTGGCGCCTACGTCCTAGCCGGTGAGATCACCAGACACGAACATGGGAACAATCTCAATGCCGCCCTACAATCTTATGAGAAGATTTTGCGACCCTTTATCAGCGAGGCCCAGAAGTTACCATTGAGCGGGCCTGGAATGATTTACTTGGACAGTCCATGGAGCGTGTGGACGGCTAATCGACTGCTTGGAGCTCTATCTTTGCTCAGGATAGATGAGATTGTGAATAGAATGATGCCGGAGGATAGAGGCGGATGGAAAGTACCCGACTATCCAGAACTGAACCTTGGATAGTAGTTACACCCAGACGACCCAAGAGGAAATTTCACTCAAGTCGTAACGGACGAGTTCGTGCCGTGAAGCCTCAATTGAAAACAAATCTCACAGCCTACAGTAAAGACTTTATATGTACAATAACTGATATTGACTTAGGTTTGGTTGCCTGGGGCCCACATGTGTCAGGATGTGATGCGTCTCTGCCCGTAGACTACAATAAAACGTAGTCGAGCCCCGACTTCCGCGACTTCCTGCTGCAGTTGGGAAGGCAATGTTATCTCATCAGACTTGATATAAGTGTTAGGTAAAGCCACTGTTTTTGTTAGATGAATTCGACATGGTGTTGCAACGTAAGAAAATGGTATTCATACCCCTGGCTTGGGCCAAAACTGGTCCTACGACTTGCGATAGACTCCTAGTACTCTTCGCCTTGAGGTCCTCACCTCCTTGATTCTTCGCCCCGTAAAAGACGTCTACCGAATGCTGCTTTATATTCTCAAGGTCGATGTTTTCCATGGCAACCTTGAGGTGGACCGAAAGATTTGGGCCGAGGCCGCCTGCTTCCGAATTCTGCTGGTGATAATACAACAATCGCCGTAAAGCCGGCCCATTCTCAGGAGTACAGTCATTGTCAAGCTCCACAAGTTGCAACCAACCCCCAGGACGGAGCAAGCCTCCTAATTCGGCAACGACAGAAGCAATGGTTGTCGCTGGAGGCGCCACTGCCGCCATGACTAGCCGCTGATGTACAATATCGAAGGTCCCGTGCCACTTAGTTGGGAAAGATTCAAGGATGGACTGATTAAAAAATTCAATGTGTGGGGGTGGTGACTTGGGATAAAGACTAGGATTGATGTCGGTCCCGACATAATGGTAGGTGCCAGCGTCGGCTCCATTTGCGTCCAAGTACTGTCGCAGGTCAAATAACCAGCGACCATCGCCGGCGCCGGAATCTAAGATTCGCAAGTATCGCCGAGAGAAGTCGACGGGAGCAAGAATGGCTCGGTCACCCATGGCGTGCAAAAGCACATCATGCTGATCATGCAGACGAGCGGATTCCGACTTGTTGTCGTCACAGTCTTGGGTGTATTTGATGTAGCCTTGCATCTTGTAATGTCGAGTGTTTGTGCCTGCTTCGGATAATTGTTGACCTTACCGGAGTCCTGACGGCGAGACGGCTGACCTTTACCAATTTCCACGACCACAGTAGCGCTCCAAGGATGGCGACAACCCCTAGGGGCGACCCGCTGGGGAAGTCCACTCAACTCGGCTGTCAATTCCGAAGGCGGCGAAAAGTATAGACCCGTTTCGTGGTGTTGTTTGAGAGGTTCAGCTGAATCCGCCGCCGTGTCAACGATATGAAACGTTTCTGTCAAATTGTTGTCAAAGATAGGACGATGTGCGGACATCTAGACGTCGAGATGTTAATGTGGGAATTTGGCATATTTTGGACGGGATCAAGCACGCGAGCTCACCCATACAGGCGGAATCATGAATCGAGCGATCGCGATTACGACGAAGGCCAATTTGATAAACCTTATGGCTTACCCACCTAACGTGGCTGCCGGTTTAGGCAGTCGAAGAGTCTTCCGGTGGCACCATCGGACTGCCGAATATCGTCTCTTCATCCCTTTCTAGATTCAGTAAAAAAGCACTGTTTCGTGGCAAGTATGGCGGCGTCCGGAAGTGAACGACTCAAATCGGGTAGGATTACTGCGAAAGTGTCAGAAAGCCATTCGAAAGCATGCTTTTGGTTTTCAAAGGCTCAATTGCTGATATCGCGAGGTTGCAATACGACTCTGAAGGAAGTTCTTCTTATCAGAAACTTTTATAATGGATTATACAACAGGCCTACAACTACTAGCAACGGTGTTGCGAGTGGGTGTGGAATCGATCCTGCGGGACCAGAGTTTCACCACCAATGGCGGAGACTCCATGGCTGCTCTTCGATTTTGTATGGAGTGCAAGCGGAATGATATCTTTGTACCCGTCGATCTTGTTCTCTCGAGCGGCTCTGTTACGGAATTGCTGCGGCAATGCCAACCAATATCTGTCTACAGCAACGGCAAGCACCCACAAATTCGAACCGGCCACGATGCAAGTATTCGCGACAACGAGCCCACGAGACCAAGAGAACACTTTCGGGAGGCCGGCAGCAGAAGTCGACTTGACGAAAAAGCTGCGCTATGGCGCGAAAACAGAAACGAGTCCAGTTTACGCAACGCAATCGACGAGTCCTTGGAATCCAGCGCCAGGGGGTTACGCCCTATCCTGACTTTCACAGACGAGTTCTGCACCGGCAACCATACAGTATGCGACATGTCTGATATTCAAATATCTCTTGTTCATGGGAGTCTGGAATCACCCGGAGCGAACATAATCTACTACAGCGAGATCCACAATCCGAGCCATATTTTCCGTCTCAGAGACGCCTGGATGAAAGTTTGCAGAGCAGAACCTATTTTCCAAACAGCGTACCGTATTCCCGACGATGGACAGGAGATTCGTCCTCGACTTTGCTGGCGAGAGTTCAAAACAAAGAGCCGAACAGTCTACAGGAACGCGTTGCTTCAAGCAACTGGGCCAGGAATGCCTTGGCCCGACAACAATGGAGTCGATTTCGGCCTGCGATTTACCGTTCTACACTACCGTACGAGACGACCGGCTGATAGTAAAGCCGCTGTGATCTGGGCAATTCATCACGCTTTGATTGATGGCTGGTCTGCCGGCCTCTTGGTCCAGAAAGTGCACCGAATGGCGTCCGGGAAACCTGTACCCGCGCACCCTGGGCCGGCCTATGTAGATCTCTGCCGCTTTCAACAAGAATTGAGATTGAGTCGAAAGGCCGAGGGAGATCTATTTTGGGCGGAGCAAAGTATCAAGTTAGCAACAGCTTGCGATGAGCTCCTCATTGCAAAGGCACCAAACGCTTCTGCATTCACCAACAATTTATGGGGCAAGAGGGACGAGATGCAGGTTCCTGTCGAACTTGCCCCCACCGATCATGCTGCTGTCAAAGTTGCAGCACAGTCCTGCAGTGTCACTCCGGCCGCCTTCTTCTATGCTGCCTGGGCAGTTTGCCTCGGGCTTTACGCAAGTTCGGACAGTGTTGTCATCGGCGCAGTTGTGTCGGGCCGCAACATTGGGCTTGCCGGTATCTTCGACACAATAGGCCCCATGGTGAACACATTGCCACTCCAGGTCGATCTTGACTGGCAATCTTCATCTCGAAAACTGGTGGAGGATGTTTTTGCTCGAATCCAGCGGTTATCTTATTTTTCATGGACCACGCCGAGTAACGGATTCTCTAGAGTAAGGGGAAATTTGATGGCTTTCACACCCAATCCCGAATGCTGGGTCAAGGGTGCTGGGGTTGAACAGTCCTTTTACCAACACACAACGAACTTGCCTCTCAACGCCATCGTCAAAGAAGATGGAAGTGGCATGGTCATCCAATACTCTGCTGAGCGCTATAACGCGAAGGCGATGGAAACACTTGCAAGCATTTTCAGGGCATCGCTCTTGTCACTTTCCCGCACCGAGGCAAGTCTGGAGTCATTACAACCTGTGCTGCAGACGTGTGGACGGAGTTTGGGCTTGATGGGCAACTGGAAGTCATTCGAAACGACAATTCCATCCGTTAGAGACGATCTCGTGACGTTATTTGAGGACATTTCAACACACTACCCTGGCGCGATCGCCGTCGAGTGCGGAGATCAAACGATCACCTATTGTGAGCTAGAGAGGCTTTCTGGCTGCGTCGCTTCAAAACTAATTCAAGTGATACAACCGCAAGAGGTCGTTGCCGTGCACGCAGATGGTTCCGTCAACTGGGTTGTGTCCATTTATGGTATACTACGAGCTGGAGGCATTTATTGCCCCTTGGACAGATCGCATCCTCAAAGATACCGCGAATCCCTTTTTGAGGCATCAACTGCACGGGTTTTCCTATCTACAGATGAGCGCTCAATGGCCAGTATACCGGCTGCAGCTGAAATTGTAATAAACGTTGCCGCCGCCATGGAAGATGTGGAGGCGACGTTGTGCTATGATTTTCATTATTCAATGAGAACGGCACCTCGACCAGCAGACAAGGCGTACCTCTGCTTCACGTCCGGCTCAACCGGCAAGCCTAAAGGCGTCATATGCACACATCGAGGTCTTGTCGCTTTCCAGAGAAACCTGGAAGTCCGCTTGGGTGCATCCGTTGGCGTCAGGATTGCACAAGTCATGTCCTTGGCTTTTGACGGTGCCATACATGAACTGTTTTCAGCCCTTTCATACGGAGCTACACTCGTTCTGCGGGAGACGGACAGTCCAGCAAGTGTACATCATCTTTATGCTGTTGATTGTGCCATTCTTACCCCATCTTTGGCATCTGTGCTGGACCCGGACGATTTCCCACAGCTAAGGACTGTGTATCTGGTCGGCGAAATAGTACCGCAGACGGTGTGCGACACATGGGCTTCCAGTAAGACCGTGTACAACATGTATGGGCCAACAGAGGCAACTTGTGGCGCCACGATCAAGCAACTACGACCGGGCCAGACAGTCACGATTGGGAAGCCAAATCCAACCACCAGGATATATATATTAGACAAATGCAAGCGACTGGCTCCTCCAGGTGCGGTCGGCGACATTTACCTCGCGGGCGTCCAGGTTGCCATCGGATACATCGGGCAACCAGAAATCACTGCCGAGCGCTTCCTTTCTGATCCATTCATGAAGTCGGGAGAGTCCATGTACCACACTGGAGATCGGGGCTATTGGGACGATTCCGGCGATATCGTCTTCCTGGGTCGCGCGGACCGTCAGACCAAGCTTCAGGGATTCAGACTGGATCTTGAAGACCTGGAAGCCCGTATTCTACGTGCTTGTGGTCAGCAGCATGGAGCCAGCGCCGTGGCTGTGACAACTCAAGGCGATCAACTGATTTGCATGATCCAAACAAATTCTGGAGATCTCGCAGGAATGCGAATGGCTATTCGTGACGCTCTCCCCCCATTTGCGATACCCAAGCACACCTTAGTTACCCGTCAGCTTCCGATGACCTCAAACATGAAAGTGGACTATCGTACAATTGTGCAACTGGTCAACGACTCAAGCATCTGTCATCAAAATCGGACGGAAACAAACGGAATTTCTTCATCCACTCGAACAGAGGCTGTTGTCGCTGCCATCTGGGCTCAAATTCTGGAGAACGAGGCTCTGTCCCCTCGAATCGGCCCCGACTCGAATTTCATACAGCTAGGCGGGCACTCCCTACAGCAGTTGCGACTAGCAGCCAAGTTGAAATCCGTCTTCGGAGTTCTCATCACGCTTCGAATGATAATGAATATCCCAACTCTGCGGGAGTTCGCAGCCGCAATTGACAAGATGGACAAGATGTCTCTGCCCCCTACGGCGGTCGAGGGAAGAAATGATGCCTGGCTTGGAGCCTTTGACCCCCGCCCGATCGAAAGAGAATGGTGGAGAAAATATCAACTAAGATCTGGCACTTCGGCTTTCAACGTAAGCTGGGTCGCTCAATACTCCGCGAGTATCGACGGCCCGAAATTAGCTAAAGCATGGAACGCTGTGCTGGCACGACATCTCATCTTCCGATCTCGGTATGTGCAACATGACGGTTTCGGCTTGCAGCGAGTCTTGTCTTTGTCTCCCCCGCATGTGAACAGACGGCGCCGTCTCAACATCCGCAGAGAATTGAATCGGAATTTCGACCTGAGCACGTCGCCCCCTGTCCGGGTCACAATGACGCACAATGCGATAATTGCTATTTGGTCGCACATTGTGTGTGATTACACCACCCTGGGCATCGTCCTCAAAGAGGTGGCCACCGAATATCATCGTGGACCATTGGTTCCTCCTTCCCCCCCAAAATCGCCGCCAGAAGTGTGCGGCAGGCAGATATCGTCTGACGAATCATGTGCCGCGTTCTGGTCGGCTTACTTGGATGGAGTGAAGAACAAGCGCCATCCTTATCTGGGAAATGACATTGAACGAGTTGATTACCGGGGTAAATCACTTGTGGGACGCGTGTCTGTCTCCCTATGGCACCGTATGCAAGCCTGCGTGCGAAAGTGCCGGGTGACCCTACAGCAGTTGCTGATTGCTGCAGTCGCTGCGGCCGTCACAATCGAGGACGAAAAGATTGATGTGACATTGGGCGCACCTTTCCTCAATCGGCATTCCGAAGCGGATATGGAGGCTGTGGGGTTGTTCCTGGAGCCGCTGCCAGTTCGTGTACATCATGATGATACCACGTCGACTCTGAGGTCTTACCTTCATACCGTTCAACACTCATCTCAAGGTGCTTTGGCCCACGCAGTCCCGTGGGACCAGCTGCTGGAATATTTTGGCATCGATTCCGGAAGCCAAATTCCCAATCACCCAATCTTCGACTGTGTCACTTCATTCCACGATGCTCGCTGTAATGGATCCAATAACACGCAGCAGAGCAGATGTGGTCCATGGGATAATGCAATTTGGGGTGATGGTGTCGAACCACAGCTGGTATGGAGTGACGGCGCAAAGTTCAAGTTGATGGTGGAGTGCCTGGCATATGACGATGATACGCTCTTAATCCGACTTGAGTACGACACGGCTTGCTTTGAAGGCAGTCATCGTGTTTACGATGCACGAATCAAGGCTGTGAGAAGAATGATACTGACAGCCATGAAGATGATCGTTTCGCCAGAAAATGGCACCGTCGGTGGCTTGCGGCAAGGACTCCGACGGTTATGGGAAATAGAGAAGAGACCTGGGGTTAAGGGTGTTCCCAGCGTGGATTTGCTACACCCTTCTGAAGGCCTGTTCATGAGACGCTTTTCGGACTTGAACAGTCGCTGAAAGATTCTTCTTTTGCTTACTATGACTTATTTTACTGGGGGAGAGTATGATTTGATTCTATATTGTACGTGGCGTATCGCCGAATGATTTAAAACCTCAGTGTGGTCTGGAGTTCTAATACAAATGTTGAAATTAACAGTATGACTTTTGAAGCCAAAGTTGGTGAAGAGATTTTCCAATGTTAGGAAGTGCCAAGTCAATCATCAATGGGCAGATTGACTCATTTGCTAATAATATGCGCCATCTTTGCCTCCATTATACGTGTATATCAAACACCCGACTTGGACGCTGCCGCCTACGCCGCCATTGTTGCCTGAAATTCAATATCAGCTGAGTTTCTCGAGAAAGCCGCACCTGAAACACTTACAATTCACGTAATTTGCCCTCATGAGATTGTAACATGTTGGACTCTCATCAACAAGCGGCCGCTGTATGTCTTGGCTAATTTCCCCCGTGTCGCACCCCGGCTGCCATTCAACTTTGAAATCATGTTTGATTCTCCATCGATCCGAGTGACGAAATCGAATAGCCGGATAGGGCCGAGCGCCGTGTACACTCCTTCTCAGAATAGTCCTGCCCTTCTTGGATCTGCAAAAGGCCGCGACGCCGTCCTCCTGCTTTCGGGAACGAATATCAGCGTGCCCTGGAAAGTCGGCTTCGTTATGGCACCGTCTCGCTTGTTCCATTAGCGGCGTGGCAGATCCCGGAAAGTATGTTGGCGGAGTGACAGCTGTCTGGCGAACAAGAATAAGGCGGGAGACTGATGAGGCACGGGAGGGAGATCTTATGGTGACCGTGGTCCCAAGCGATGTAAAGTTGTCGGGTTGATGCCCGCCTGCTCGAGTCTGCATTCGGGAACCCATTGTCGCTGGCCCATCAGTTGAAGCCCCATTACCTGGACTTTTTCCTGCGATTGAAACGACGAAAAAGGAGATGACTGCGTACAAACCAATCATAAGAAGCATGATTGGAAATGAGTCAAAGTCTGGCTCAGAATTTGAGCTGTTAATAAGCCCACCGCAATATCTAGCTTTAAATCTTTTCTCGATGGTATGGATATACCCGTAAGGATTAGAAAGAAAAGGAAGATCATGTATGTTTCAATGGATGGAAACTTGCTTCATCGGGGTTTGTTCGCTTGCGCCGCAAACAGCCAGTGCCATTCGTCTCATGGGTTACACGAGTGCTAAATGCTTGGGCCCAGAGTGGTACAGCACGATACCATGAGGCACCATCTGCCACAAGAAGTCCGTGCAGCAAGTCCGGCAATCAAAGGGGTGTTGTGGACCGGTAACACACGTCGTGTGGTGATGGATACGGCCGGCAGTGAATCAATACATGCCGGACTCAATCTGAAAGACAACATATTCAGAGTCTCGCGAGAGAAGTCTTCGATCTCAAGCAAAAGGCCACGCATACAGGGGCAAAGCTGAAATCAGTTAGCTTGATAGTCATCCTACTATACACTGATCTTCACAGATGAAGAACACTTGGCCACGTATGAGCCGGTCTGAAGCAATCGTCACGGCTTCTGCAATAAACAAGTCGTTCAGATAAATCCTGCTGTTTTACTCCTTCATTCTATCCGTAATTTGAACATTTTTGACATTGTGGATTCCCACTCCAGCCGCGGCTCAAGTCTCAACCTGCCTGACGGAGCACCGCCCCAACAGTGTGCCTCAGGTTTTACCTACAGATGGCCCACCTGATGTTATCTTGTGATCGGGAAATGTATCAGTTTAAATGGGCGACAGGAAGGCTATGAAGAAAATCTACGCCGGCACCTACCACAATACGTGCTATGTCGACGAGGTGTGGATACCTGTCGGGTCTTTTGCTTGGTTCAACTATGTCAGGGCGCTCGGTTTCGGTGTTGCATCCGTAATTACCGGCATTTCTCTGACCGCTTCCAACTCTCGATAAATAACTGGACCAACCGCGGCCCGTTAGTAAGCGGCCCCGGGTTGTCGACTGACGTTTAGGATGGAGTATACCCCGAAGGCAGACCAGGCGTGATGACTGGGGGCCGGTCACACGACTGTCCCTTGTCAGTAGGTCTTCTGGCTATTTGTCTCCAGGGTAGCGTGGCTCTTTGTTCTACCGGTTCCTAAACCTCTTCAAGTTTTCGTTTTCTTCGTGGTACTCTAGATTCTCAATGTCTAGGCTCTCCTCGAGAACACGCAATGGTTGATAACTAAAACCCATTGTAATACTTTGCGAGAGTAATTTGACCTAACATGAAGTGGTACTCGATTAACTGGTTTTAGTCGCCAGGTTAAATTAATCAAGTGAGTTACTGGATCAGCTTTTCTAAGCAGCTGGCTGGGCGGAATTGAAATGCGTCAGATAGACCCTTTTGACAGGTCCTTATTATATATCATTACTCTTCTGTCGTTCTCATTTCCTCCCTGAGTACCGAAAGCGAACAGAAACTCTGGTTACCGTGATAGCGCCCTGAATCGAGTTCATACCAAGTCTCGCCCTCTCCCCTATCTCCGTCTGGTAGAAGACTCGTTGCCCGTCAGCACTGCCCCAACCTATCAAAGCTGCAAGAACCGCACCCGTATTACCACTTTGACCTCTTATAGGGAAGTCGTTCTCCACGCTCCATCCCCAGCTGACGGCAGTAACTTCAACACACGTTTGGAAGTTGTCGGTTAAAATTTGTCTGACACTTATAGTCGCCTCTGCCCTCACCTCTGCAGAGACATCTCCGGGGAAGTGCACGAGAACGAGCTCGGTCACAGGGCATTGAAGCGCGACTGAAGACGAAGGCGTGAAAGACAAGTGCTTAACGAACTCCCCATGGGTAAGCAAAGCAGGCAAGTCCTTCACAATTTCGGCGCCGTGGCTAAGATTGGCCCAATTTTATCAGTCTCAAACATTGTTTAGCGCTTCCTGTAGTGCAACTTACAGCTTCGCAAACACTTCATGGTGTTCAACCGAGTCAAAGTCGAAGAATCCCCATAACAGCAATGGATTCTCAATCTCCGTGCCCCAGAATGCACGATATGGCCCTCCCTCTGCAACCGTCACAGCCCTGTACGCTCCTGAGAGAAACGATCCTTCTGGTGTAGAGTCGTCCATGGGGCTCAAACCGGGCTTAACACCCATGCACCCTACTTCGGTTACTGTCATTGTAGTAGTCTTCGGGGGGTTGCGGTTTTCTACTCATTTAATAGAGTATCTAGCATGCTAGAAAGCTTTTCTATAGTCGAAATGATGTCTTCTTTTAGTATTTATTACAATTTCATTAGGCAGCAGTGAAATACGTTGGGATCTGATCGCGAAATCCTGATGCCTAAAATGTGTACCCGACGTTGTTGACGTTGACGCTGACGCTGACGTCTCGTAATATGCAGTGGTCAGATGACAGGCAACGACTTCCAGAAGCATCTGGACCTAAAGCTGCCGTATTATCAACCAACCTAGAAGGCAACAAACGCGGAGTGTGTGTTCAATTGGCAATTCAATTTAGCTTGTGATCATGGCCACCGTTACCTAGACCCAACCTAATTTCAGGCGAAGCCCTGCAACTGCATTAAGTGCTAAAGCCATTTGGTGTGGAAGGAATCCCAGCGAGAGTTGTTAGAGAATAAGTGAACCTGGCCCCTTTAGGCCATTTGCAGCGTAGCCATGACGTTTGCCATGCACATGAGCACCCGAAGACATAATGAATGACACAAACCCGGGAAATTGTGTGTGGAACCGGCATCTTACCACTGAATACCGAATACTGAAGGTCCCCGGAAAATGAACTGGTTCGTCCTTACTTGCCCGGCTGAGGTGGTCGTATCGGCCATATCTGCTTTGCTTGTGCCCAGATTTGGCCAACAATTGAATAAATCTTCTAACCCGCAACTGAGAATCTTCGTCGTGGAGTGACTCCGTCATGATCTTTAGATTCTCGTTTGCTTTCCGTGTTGAGTGGTTTTGCATGCCGAGCCTGCGTAGCAGGGGACCCGTAACATTAATTAGCGGGTTTGTAATTATTAGGACACATGCTTGTAGGGGATGGTCCCGTTTGGCCTCTGTGCATAAGTTAACGTCAACCCAGGTGGTACAGAAATGAGGATATTGTCCAAGGCGTGCATTGTGATTCGGGACCGCCCCTACATCTGGCTACGACCAGGGCCGGATACCATATGTCCATGGCGTGTCAACCGGGCGATTATTCACTTCACCTCTCGTCAGAACGACAGGCGTTGCTCCAAGTCTCAGCTGCATGGGAAAGGGGGGTCAACTGTTTTTTGCAAGTATGCCGTACGGATACAGTCATTTACTGAATTCAGAATACTCAATGCCGGCCGAAATTGCGAACACACGCTTGGCGCTTATGAATTTGCTTAAGCGAGAGATCAGAGACAAATGAGCAGCAGGACAGAAAGCAGAAAATGCAGGGATCCATTGCTTTTTTGCAGCTTATGCGCAAAGCAGTGCCCGGTCTCGAGTCCAGGCTCGCCGACCGGAGATCTTCCATCTCGTACGTCCTGTTCCGCTCCACAGATTCGTTTCGGCGTAAAGTCAACCGTTGGGATGCATAAATTTCATGCATCATTGAACTTGCAACGCTGCGCCCATGGCGGTGTACCCCTAAAGCTGACTTCCTCGTGAACATGCATGCATGGCCAGTGCAGCCCGCAAGCGAGCACCACTTCTCCTCTCGAAGCACAAACAAATGAGATAAGATAAGCCGAGACTTCAGGCCATAGAACGATACATGAGACGAAGCAGCTGCAGCCTGCAGTGATTCCGCAGTTTTACCAAGCACTCACCCGAAAAAACGTGGAGGTCGATACAACCGAAGGCCAATCAGGGGTGCCACGGTTTTCGACCGGTGAGCCACCAGGCTACGTGCAACCGCAACAGCTCAGTCAGTCAAGTCTCACAGTCACTGAGTGAGCGCATAATCACCCAAGATCAATTCCGTTCCGATTTCTGATGGCTGATATCCATTCACGTCTGGCAGGGAGGCAGACTTCCAGAATCCCTCGAACAATATCGTGCTCTTCAGGTTGTTCAAAGAAACGTTTTGGTCACACCAACAAACTTGCTCGACAGAAGCAACCTTGGCAGTGTCCGTTTTTGCTCAGAGCCAGCACCCCGGCCCATTACCCCTCACCTACTCCGTCATTTTACCTGGTTCGCGATCCCCACGGGCAAGTGGAGAGACGCCGTTAATGGAGCACGGGGGGAATGCTCGACATCTGCCGCTCCCTTTGTCTTGGTCAGAAGAATCACAATGTGTACGCGATTTTGATGAAAGAATCTTGCCTCCGCTTGTCGTGCCGGCCAAGATCTATCCATCCACTCAGAATACGTCAAGGACAAATTTCCACGACCACGACGAAGGCAGCTATGCGAAGACGACACACCCGACTGGCACCCCCCCGCTACGCAGGGTCATCATGGAGGCTCAGATCGTTGGGCAAAGTCCAACGCCCTGCCGACCATTTTTCGATCCTGTCAGAGATGCCTTGTTCGTGAATGAAACAAAGGGAGCAGAGAACTATCAGCAAACACAAACAAACGGCGACGAGAGTTGGAGGCCAGATTCAAGCAAAGATTCGCCAGATACTGAGTACCAGCACCAAGCTCCCAGCAAGAAGAAGAAGAAATCGACGAGCGAGTATGGTCAGCAGGTCTTTCAGTTTCTGTCCATTTCTCACCCGAAAGAAGCGCGACTCTTCCGCACGAAGATCAGGTCTCACGCTGCACAGAATCCTAATGCACGTGAGAAACGGGTCGCCGGCTTGAAAGCAAATCTGCCGAAGCGTCTCGCTCCTGATTTCAAAGCCGAAGGAAGCCTCCCCAACTCTGCCGGGTGCGACGAAGACACGTTGCAATCCAAGGAAACTACCTGGAGAATACTGCGTCCTCAAATGGTCGCATCGATTCAAAGCTCCCCTGACGAGAAACTGAACGAAAATCAATACGAGAAACATACTTCCAAAATAGGCGTGCTTCGCGACTGTTTTCGACAACCAGCTCCACGCCCGGTCGATCTACCATTCAACGAGAACCTCGTACCGGACGGAAGCCTGTCATCAAAGTTGCCGCGGCAATTTGACGCTGCGAGCCCGAAAAGATTGAACAGTTCGCAGCAGAACAACCTTCATAAGACTTGGCAAGCTGCGGAAGTGAGATTTCGGGGGTATGACAAGTATGAGCCAGACTGCGAAATCACCGAAGAGGACCAGGAGGAGCGTATGGCTGGAAGGTTTAGGAGAGGTGCGTGATCCATGGAGCGGGGTTGGAAGTCGTCATAGGCTCTTCCTCATTGTCCTCGAGTCTCCTTTAGCTCCAGATCGCGGTTGGGGGCCGCGCAAAGTGGCCCAGGCTAGGATGCAGCGCAATTGTGCCCTCAAGTCGAAAGGACGCCTGCTCGTGCCAGGAAGCAAACCGAAGCATGGAAAAAACAGCATCTTCTCTCCCGTTTCCCGTTCTCCTTATGTGTCCATGGAAGGACCTTACGCGTCATGTTCAACTGGAAGGTGTAAATAACCTCAAATAACACGTCCTAAATGGAACATCTGATGATGTACTGAAAGCGGGCAGGCAAACAACACCGTGTTCGTTGTCTTATCACTACGACATTTAATTGCAGCAACAAGTTGTTATCTTACGCAAAATTTCGTCTTAATACAGAACCAATACCCCCTTAAACGAGCGTACAGTGAACCTTTTAGACACCACATTCAGTCCAACCTTTTCAAATTATCGTCCAGACTGTCTTATAGCACTTTAATCGAGGTAGTTGCAAGAGTTCATTATCTGGAAGCCGGTTCCCTTCTAACTTCTCCACTGACCAGCAGTGCCACATCCAGTTACAGCCTCCCTAGACTGCGTCTGCACATAAGCGTCTATGTTTGCGGTCAACGCGTCAGTCACGACGATGAAGAGATGCTCTAAACATCAGGGTTAGATTCCATGAGTCAGTAAGCAAAAGTGATCAGAGAAAGATAACGTTTCAACTTTCTATCTTTTTCGACTTGCCCAACTAACTTCATTTATGCGATTCTCTACCATGCTCACTTGCTCTTTTGACGGTATGGCTTTCGCAGAACTAGAGGCCTCCCATATTGCTAGTACAAGTAGGCGTTGATGTTGCGTTTTTTACTGTTGGTAAATTGCGGGCCAAGCCCACAAATGGCACAGCAGGCGTCCAGGTATCCGAGCAAGGGCACATTGGAGTTCAATCTTGCGTCATGAGCATTCAAGACCAGGCGCTTTGCCTTGGAAACGGCCTTCGATGTAATTTCTTGATGTTCGCCATGTTGAGTAAGGCTCGTAGCAGGTCTTGACAAGTTCAACCCTTTGAAGTGCCCGTTGTCAAACCACGCCGAGCGAGCTAGCGAAAGCCATCACAAGGACCCGAAGAGCTCCAGGGGCTGCTCTTGCAGATATCAGTCATAACCAGGCATCTATCATTGACTCAATTTATGAGTGCACCGTCCCACCCACAGCAACTTTTTTCATTATCTTCCTTTACTGATTACTCGCAACACAAGGTACGTGGGGATGTACAGCCCCGTATGTCGTACGGAGTAGTCAGGATGAGCTGGAGCTCTTTCCGCATGAAGAAAATGGTTCCGACATCAATTGCTCGCAAAGCACGCAAAGCCAATCAGTAAATTCATTCTGATGCTTACTGCCTATGAACTTGAAGTCGAGATGCTCCGACCGCTGCATTGACTACGGGATATTCATGATAATTTAGAAAACTTGACCTTGCCTGGCGTTCCGGCCTCCGCGAGAACGCTAAGCGCGTGAGCTCGACACGCACTGGTAGCCTCCCAGAGGCAAGATCTGCAGTCCCACCAAACGTTTTCGTTGATAATCACCCCTGTGCAGTTTGCGAAAGTCCCCTGCATGAAGCATTGACCTCGCGCAGCAGAATTCCATAATCCCTGCAGTTGGTTGTCGTGAAAAGCGAGAAGCATTTTCCGATTTGGGGTTCATCAATGAGACCCATTTCGCCTGCCACACCCAGTGCCGAAACCACGCAAGATTGCTGAGAAACGTCCCCAATGAGAAATGGCACCCGCCAGAAAGTGGACATAAAGCTTCCGTGGACATAAAGCTTCCACACACCCGTTGATGATGGTGTTTATATCGACATAATACCAATCTTCACGGGCCAAAGGAACGACGTTCTCGACGGTCAGACTCCTTCCAGGTCTGGCCTCAGGTGGCTTGGTTGATCTATGCTCAAGACAGAGCGTCGTTTCGTTCAGAAGCCTTTTATTCTGAGTTCATGTAAAAGATGAGGCCATGCAGTCCTACGCACAGGGACTTACCTCCCAAACCAGTGAAAGACAGAGAGAGAATCGCGTGAGATACTAGATTGTCAGCGAGTTTTACTGCCTTATGATCGCTCGCATTTGGCTGCTTAAACCTTACCGGAATAGAACCAAGGGGTTGCTCAGATGGAGACGCAGGGGTGTATCATGATGTCTTGGGATGTCACATTTTCACAGCGGTCACCACCTAGGACTGGCGTCAGAAGTGTGGGTTGTGTCGACCATCGGAGGAATTAAAAGGCCGCAGTTCCCTTGAGTGAGACGTCGTTCTTCTTGAATTTATGTTCAAATCTGTACCACAGAGATAACAACAGGAAATGCCGGTAGAGATTAAGTGGTAGTCAGAACGTTAGGTTGGCAACTTCGACAAAGATCCATTTTGGAAAGGAATCCGCTCACGAAAATGTCAGGGAATCATCCGAAAAGTGGTTGATGCAAACATGGACGGATCATCCACTGGTACAGATGCAAACATCTCAAATAGGGTAATTCAGCCATGCATTGAAGGCCCCAGGAACGAAAAGGATTCCATTCCATCCCAACCCCCTACCCCCAAGCGAAAGCTTCAGCCCCGCGCCCATTTATGTAGCCACAGGACACCTTTCGACATTCCAGTGGCCGAACGATGCTATAAAGATATATCAATGGGCTGGGCCAAGAAGTAAGTGGAACTTTGGACATGTCGAAAACGAAGAGGCCTGCGCTATAAGAAAGACAGGCTTCAATTTTACCAGCGCATCCTGAAGGAAGATCGAAAACAGACACGGAGGACGACACAAATGACAAGTATGGAGGGAGGGAAAGAGGAACATTAAAGCGAGAACTTCTGTATGAGCGAGGATGCGAGAGTTTGAAGCTCATCAAAGATCACCTCGGAAGAATTGACTAGGAATTGACTTTAAAGTGCTGCTTTCTTCGAGTATCCGAGGCCTGTAAATACTAGTAGGGAGTCAACATCGCTAGAGCGGTGGTCTGTCGGTCAAAGAACAATCACTTCCTGGGCCGCCAAAGAGTATCATGGCGGCAGGATTCCAGCAACGACGTTCAAGGGACACGAAAGTCATCGAGCAGACACCTGATACAACTAAGATCACAGGCTTGCGAACGTGAAACAAAATGACGAAGTTCGATCGTGATATGGTGCTGTGCAATTAGCCAAGCCAACATTGAGCTCATGTTGCCGTCAACAACATGATCGCATAGCTGTGTCTAGATAAGAGATGATTGCCCCAGACGTCACGGAGACGCCTATAAGGAAAAATTCGCCGTTGCAAAACGATATTCCTGCGTAGACTCCAACTCAAACAGAAATATCTCCGCCGCAGCTAGCCTAGACCTTCCGTCATTTACGATGAAAGGGTGCGAAAGCGCGACCTTGAAACCAGTGTCGGATGTATCGATGAGGTATGACTTCAATACACGTTCTCTCGTCACAGAATGGCAGGCAAGCGCTAGCCAGATAATGTGACACTGGTCAAAAAGAGCCGCTGAACTGCCCATGACCCGCCAGTGGGACGAAAAATCATTGCCAGCACGCAAAGGAATGGCGCGAAGCAAATGGCGATAGATTACTTGCAAATGAAATCAATAACTTTTCCTTGATGTCTACGGCCGGGAAACCCTAAAACCCCTAAACTAGCTGAGAAATGAAAAAGGAAAACATCCTGATTGGCAAGAAACAATCGCCCGCATGCAATCCGTCTGGTGTAATTACCCCGTCAACCTCTCCCTAGCCATCCTCGAAACAATCAATCCAAATCCCTGCTTGATGCCCAAGATGGCTTGAAACACCGTTGACAAAAAGAAAACGCAGAAGCAACCCTCGTAGGACGAAGCCAAATCGCTCATGAAGGCCTCGCATGCCGACGCTGGAATGGGCAAAGTATAGATAGTGGCAAAAAGCATCCGTAAAGTATGAGATGTAGTGATTTAGGTACGCATCGAGACACTCGTGGAAAGAGCCACCGATGTCGAGGAGTAAATAAAACCAGGTGTTTGGGTGGATACGTGGCTCAGTGAAGCTGGTCGGAATCGGCAGCGACGATGTATCCGACTTGGAAGCTCTTGCGGCAAATCGGACAGCTGCGAAGGTTTGGGTCGGCGGAGATGTTTCCGAAGCATTGCTTGCAGGATCGGTGACCTATGGAGAGGACCTGTCAGAACTTGCCAGTAACGATTGAGCGATGTAAACGTACCGCAGATCAACACGCACCAGACGTGCTTGCTATCCTCGCGACAAATAACGCAACTTGACTCGCCAGCTTGGTAGTTGAGCTGGACGTTCTGCACCTTGCCACAGCAAGTACCCCGGTTGTCCAGGCAGGATTGGCAGGCAGCCTATGTGAGTTAGCGGATGGATGTTGCGAGCCTGGCAATAGACCTACATGACCACACTTGGTGAAGATGTAAGGCTTCTCAGCATTCGGCTTCCGGCAAGCACAGTTGATGGTGGTGAGATCCCTGGCTGGGGCGCTCTGGTGCTCGGGTTCGGTGTAGCCGGATTTCACAAGACTCTGCGACTCTTCCTTCTTGCTCAAAGGCGTGTCTTTGACAGCCTTCGGGGGAGACTGCGAATAGGTCGTCTTGCTGAAAAGTCTGTCGATGTTGTACTCTGGCTTGGTGACGCGATGACGGGGACTGCGACGAGGGCTGGCAGGCGGGATGACAGAGGCATATATTCGCCGGCGAGGCACTGGTACTTTAACGTCTGCGATTCCTGGTTAGACGCGATTCGGATGCGGGATAGGTAGGAGCAGTACATGGCGACATGGCAGGCGATATCAGAGATCGTGATGTTTTGCCCGAGACGCCGTCGCAGTGTGATGCGGTTGAGAGAACGATTGCGTTTCCAGTTGATAGCAAGACTTCAGGAGTGACTCGACTGAGATGGAGAGCAAAAGAATGTAAGGTGGCGGCGACAATTGCCAACGAGGGTGAGTTCACGGGCCTGGGCGGACGACGCGTGACAGTCGAAGGATTGCTGAGTAGGAGTATTGGAGGAGGAGGCGTAGATACAGACCAACTGAAAAACAGCTTTTGTGAGAGGGGTTGCAGAGATTTTCGAGATCGGGTGAGGTGAGTTGGCCAAGAGGAAAATGGAAGGAACGAAGGAGGTAGGCCTGAAAGGAACTCGAGGAAGGCGCGACTTGAAAATTTCGCCCCCAGCGAAATTGACTAGACCAGGAGACAATGTCAGCTTGTCCTTGGAGTTTTGCTTTTAGAAGGTTCAAATGACTGTCCAAGGTGATTGGGTTACATTTGACGATAACAGGTTGATGGAATGAGTACGCCTTTGTGATGACGATGTCAGGTTTTCTTCACAATGGATCTCAAGTCGACTTGCACTCCTCCGGTAAAGATATCTCATATGCACGCTAATACACCTGCGGTCTTTGTTATACCCTATTTAGTAGTAGAAATCTAGGATGAAAAGTGAGAATGGTAACTATGGATGGCGCTACCACTTGCAGAGATCAACTTTCAATGCCTAGATTTATGTTGTTCGTGAGAAACTTATCGCTCTTCCCGCTATGAACAACCTTCTGAAGCCTTGAAAGCTGTTGTTCTATTTTACCAGCCTAATAGCTCAGCATGTATGTGTTGAGATATCCCTCAAATCATAACTCAAAGTCGCAACATTTACGATCTAATTCAATGTCGTTTCACATGTAAGAAGTGATCAGCCTGTTCCACGTTCCAATGTCACAACCTGAAGGATCGAAGGGAGGGCAGAAGGATCTTCTGCGCGCAAGTTAGAACACCTGTCATGGTTTGGAAGCCCGCGCTATTCAGTTGCCTAGGTTGGATAGTCATGATCATTTGAGGAACTCTCCTTATAAAATATCTATTATTAACAAATACCTAAGACCGCAGGGCTCAGTCATCAGTTTCGTCCAGAGGATAAGGATAAATAAAAGGATCATGTTGACATGTTCATGTTCTTGGCAATGCGCACCTAGATATCGTCAGCCTGCACACATCGATCCGAAACCACGCCGCTGGTAATTTCTCTGCTGCAAGTCGCACCGCGCATACTAATAAGCTCGACGAGATCAAGCATCTGTCGCATGCTTTCATCATCCGAGAAAAGAAACGCTACTCTTGCTCAAATGGCATTAGTTGACCATGGTTGGTGGTTGAGTAGCGTCGGAATAGTGAAGAGCTTGAAGTCACGACCAGCCAAGTTTCCACCTGTCCGGTGTCGGCGCTTGCCATGCTTCTCCGCCAGTCGGTTTTCATCTTCGTTATGGCTTGGCTAATTGCCTATGAGATGCGATATTCACTTGATGCAATGACCTGGGGTTCTTCGGCTCACACGGCCATTCTCGGAAGGTCACATCATGCCGCGGGGTCCTGACAAATCTCACGTCGTATCTCCGAACTAGCACGCCACGATCGGTGCATTCTGGCGGGCTTATTAGCTCCCTGAATGATTTCTACAAGATCAGTTGCATTCTAGCATGTCAAAGATGCCACGAAATTTCTTCATTCTTTACCACATCCCTGTGCAGTATTTCCGAGGCACCCACGCCGCTCAGGTCATGTTCGCAAATCTTCGGCCCCACAATTGGGGGCGGATGTCGCCCAAATGCTGTTAGTGAGGGGTTAATCAGTCATGATCAATTTCTTGGCTGCTTCTTTGGTCGGAACGTTTGTTGCTACGTTACGGCAGGGGAACGTTAGCTACGTGGCTTGAAAAATTCCGACCTTGCAGCCTTGCAGGCATTCTGCAGAAGACTTAAAGGGAGGATTGGAGCCTAGCGACTCTGCCGATTGCCTTTCATCTCTACCTCCCGCGGAACAATAGCATCCACCACGTCAAAATGCGCGATTCTGTAAAAGCGACTGTTTTCGCGCGGATATATGTATTTTTCGCGTTGATTTTTTCTCCCCTTTTAGCATCATGCCAATCCGATGGCAATGTCAAGGGCATCTATTTATTCAAAGACGTGCTTCAATCCAATACATCAGCTTTGAAGACCGCTGGGTTCGACACATTGCTCATATTCAGGATTGGCGTTCTTGAAACCGGAGATTTGGTATACTACTCCACGGGAGATGCTGGAGAAGCTGTCGATGCTCCGGTAGTGACAGCCGGATCATACGTGGGAGGAGAAGCGTTATCCGAAAAGATCCGCTCCTTTAAAACAGGAACTACCCACATCAACCGAGTCGAGATATCCTTAGTGTCCCACGACACCACCTTCCAGAATATTCGGAGCCTTATCAACAGCAACGGAACCGGATCTAATTCTGTCTTGTATCAGAGTTTCCAAGCTTTGAAGACAGAATGGAACCTTGATGCGTTCAACAACGATGATGAAAGCGTATATGATGTTACAAGCACCGTGAGCTTCGCCCACCTTCTCGGCACGATCGGCTATCAGTACTCGATCGCGCCATACACAAACAGTGGCTTTTGGGCCACCATAAAGAGTCAAATTGACGCTGCCGAGCCCGGGTTGTTCGATCGGGTTTACCTTCAAGTGTATGATGGAGGAGCGGGCAACAACCCGGGAACTTGGCAGACAACACTTGGTGCTAAGGTTATCCCCTTGGTATGGGTTATAAATGATGCGAAGCCATCACAAGGAGTGACCCCAGACCAAGCCCAAGGAAGGTTTTCAACATGGGAACAACAGTACGACGTCGCAGGAGGGGGCTACTGGAATGACTATGACATTGAGAAGATGAATTCATCTTACGATGAGTATGGAGATGCCTTGTTGACCGTGTTCGGCTAGGTCCACCTGTTCTATTTCGGTTTCAGACCTCACTACTCAAAAGCCTTAGCTTATGTCAGCTTGTCTAATTTCAAGTATTCCCAATCTATGTTTTGAGTATTGCTCAGCCTTGCCGAAGCCAACCTAACGTAACGACTTGGTATTTGGCGTCAGGGAATGGATACAATGTATTCTTCTACAAAAACAGGGTCTGGAATCTCAACTGCTGGTTAGATCCTTAGGCTAGCCTACCAGAAATTGAAATCACAAAGCCCCAAAAGCACCAGCGCGTGAGCCACGAAAGGCCAGCAGCCGCACCGTAACATCATGCTTAGCGAAGGTGTCGTCACTGATTGTCATCCCGTATTCAGTGAAGTGAATTAACACTTGTCCATTCCCTTCAATTGTCGGCGAGGAACAAGCGAGATGGAAGGAACCATTCGGACTCTCACCCGGTTCAGCGCCATCTTCTCTGGATCTGGGTGAGTGATCAACGCTGTTGCGCTTGAGGCTACACCAATTGGTCTCCTGTACTTTTGGCAGGGTTCGCCATGCTCCGCTGACATTCAGAGGGTCGGTAAACCCGGGTCCGATGCAATGGTACATGGCACTGGTAATCGCCCCACGCCAGCTTGGACGCCCAAGTTCACTCAGGCAGAAATGAACGGGAGAGCCCTCCATAATGGAAATCAAGTCGCAAACGTCACAGGTTCTGGGACAACATTCAGGGATCTTCGTGTGATTGATACGGCCGGGTCGGAAAGCTACGAAGCCAGTGATAGAAATACAGCTTTTCAAAAATCAAGCAATCATTCGGAAGAGGACGAAGTAACAGCCGTATCGATGATCTTCCATGTATGTTCCTCGACTTGCTGGATTTGATCAGCAGTCCAAGTGGGCTTGTTTTCAATGAACAATCCCTTGCTGTCAATACAACTCCAGAACTTGCCCTCTTTCTGGTTCATAGCCGAAACCTCTGCCATACCGGTGAGCAGGTTTGTGGCACATTCTTCAGACGTGATGCCAAGAATTTGACTGAAAGCCCTGGTAGGCGCTCTCAAGTACCAAGGCAGTGATGCAAAGAGCTCAGTCTTGACGATACCAGGATATGCGTGTATGAAATGGCGCTTCTTCGTGTTCTCCTTTGTCTGCTGTTTCGCGTATGACTGGATCATCCCATCCGTCATCGAGATACAGTGAGCTGCTGCATTGGCTATGCTGAAGTTGGCAGACAAATCCAGATCGGCCATGTTCAATTGTGCCGGATCGCCACGCGATCCATCGAGCACGATGAGAACCTTCGCATCATCCGTCAATACAGGCAGGAGCTCGGGAATGAGGAGTTGCCGGCCATAATAGTGCAGCGCCATCTTGCGGTCAATACCCTCAGACGTCTCCGTACGTCCAGCAGTAGTGAGAATGCCCTGCGTGAGGACGAGAAGATCGATTTTCGGGGCATGAGAGGACTTGTAGGACTCCGTGTATTGCTTGATTAATCTCATCGACGATGCATCGAGCTGGCGAAACTCGATATTGCCATGGGGAATGTTTTGAGGTCGGGAACGCCCACTGATGATGATGCTGGAGGAGGCGTTCGCCGCGAGGTGGCGGGCGATAGCATACCCGATCCCGCCTGTGCCTCCTATGACGAGGGCTCTGGTTTGCATTGTGGCTGCGCGCGCGTGTCTCTTATGTTGAAGTTTGTGATAAGGCATAGCAGGAATCTTGCAGTGTGTGTTGTCTTGAAGTTCTTAATTATAGGGGGGCAGTTGTTATGGTCAGCTATCTGACAGTAGGGTCTGCTAACAGAAGCTAGGGATTGATATGTTATAATAGTATACTGAGGTTATGGTCTGAGTTATAGGTTATAGGCTAGTTATAGATTAGATCTTTAGAGGCTAAGGTGATTAGTTTTAGTCTTAATAAGTAATTTATAGTAAAGGTAAGCTAAGAGTATCTATAAGGATAAATACTAAGTTAATTACTAAAGAGCTATAGAAATCTAATTATAAACTAGGCTTAGGATTATACTATATATAAGTCTTAAATAGTTCTTTTATCTAGTTATTAATTCCTAACTAGGTATTAGTAAGTACTTAGTAATTACTAGTAAGTACTTAGTAGTCCTTACTAAGTACTTAGTGATTTATACTATCTATTTAGTTTTATTTTTATTATTATATAATTTATATTATAGTTCTTTTATTTCTAAGTAAGTTCCTATTATTTTTATAATCCTATAATATAAATATCCTATCCTAGCTACTTAATAGCTAAGTAAGTTAGTTAACTATTATCTATATATAATAGGTTATAATATTAGGTCCCCTTTTTAAAAGTTTTATTCTTAAGACCTAATATAAGTAAGTTATTAGTTTTAGGTTAGGGATCTATTAATTATACTTTCTATTTTACTTAAAGTACTAATATTATATTAGGTTATATTACTAATAATTTTATAGTTTCTATACTTTATTATTATTATTATTCTCTTAATATTACTAAGAATAGTTTTAAAGTTATACTTTATTATTATTATTACTTAAAAGGTTTATATTATAAAATACTATTAGGTTTACTAGTTTATAGGAAGTATATCACTATTAGTAGTACTTATTACTTTTATAATACTTCTAATAATATAATCTACTAGTATAAGTTTTTATCTTTTATTATTAGTTTTTTTTTACTAACTTATTATAGTAGAGCAATTAATAGTAGAATCTTATTATTTAGATAATAAAGAGGAGAAAATTAAGGAATTATTTTAAAAGAGAATAGAGGTATTATAAAAAGCATAAGCTGAAGTGAATAAGGCGCTTATAAAGTTAGATTATATTTATAAAGTAAAGTAAATAGTTTTTAAAAAGGGTTATAAAGAGACTTTAGTAGTTATAGATAAAAATAAAGTAGTTAAAGATCTTCTAGCTAAGTTTTCTTTAGTTTTAGAGGTATAGTTATTAAGTACTTTTAAGGTTTTAAATCTAAGTTTAATTCTTAACTAGAATCTTAGTATACTAAATTTCTTATTAAGAGGATCTTAGTTATATTCTAATATTTTTAATTAAATAGATATATTTTCTTATTATATTAGTTTAAGGTATCCTCTTAGTTATACTTATACTAATAGGAGTTATATCCTTTATTTCTTAGGTTTTCTTTATTTCTATTATATTTCTTTTTATATCTATCTTTCTCTTTTATTAGTATATTTTATATATTCCTTAAATTCTTCTAAAATCTTAAATAAGTTTAATCTATCTTTAGGATT